CAGGAATCTCTTCACTAGAACACTGCATATGTGTATCCCAGGTTAAAAGTTAGCCATTTAAATGATAACTTTATCATTCATATCATATACAATGTAGCAGAGCATGTGGAAGTGGGGATAGGGCCTTATTATTGGTACTGGATTACCTGGAAGGAGACCTAGGATCCCAAAACTGTCATCTGTGCCCCTCCATCATTGGAATTGGGCATTTCAGAACAGTTTACCTTATTCTAGGAAATTCTCTTCTTTCCTTCAAAGCAAATATTACCTCATGATCACATGCTAGACAACATAGCAAGAGAAAAATTCTTTCCAGTCCAAAATATGACTATCAGTTTTTGCACATGAGGCATCATCCCTAAATTCTCATGGCGACTCATCACACTTCTGATCTGCTTCAGTACCTAAGGCAGAGCTTGGTACCAAATAATCACGAAATATTGCTTATTTTCTCAACTATTACTATATAATTATACCTGTCAGATGAGCAAATTCTTGTTTAATAACTTCCAGGTAGATGGCTACACATTATATGAGGGAGGGGATTTGCAGTTTGCAGAAATATGCTGTTCTAATAACAGTCATTTGTAATTTGTAAACTGTATTTACCAGATCTTATGAGCATTTCAGAGCAGATGAATCTGTTGGAAAGCCTTTTCCTTTTGGTGGAAACATTTCCTAATTAATTGCCCTTCTTTGTGCTTCAGAGAAATTAAAAAAAAAAAAAAGCATCAGCCAATTTCACTTTACATTTCTTGGCATGTAGGAATAAAGCCAAGTGTTCTTTCTTTTATACAGTAGGAGAAACTAAGGAAAGGGATAATAATTGAACAGAATGAACTGGACATTTCTACTGAAGGGACAGGTGCCCACTGGCTCTCATTTACTCTAGCAAAGATTAAAATAGAACATCAGAAGATTAGCAAATACCAGAACATCAGATGCCCAAAAGATGAGAGCTTGAGATTTTCCTACAAATGTTTAATTTTCCACCAAAACAAAATAACAAAGTGTTCATTTTAGAAATGTATCTTTTATGGTTGATTAGGAAATTACAGTGAGGGAACAGCCTGGTGGGGATGGGAATTTACAGTGGATGCCCCAGAGCTCATCACAGCAAGGACAGCTTTCAAAAGGACAAAGAAAGAAAGAAAATCCAAGTGCTTTTTCTGCCCCTGCATGAGGACAGGTCCAGAAGGCCAGCTAATAGTCAGGCATGCACACCGCTGTCACCAGCTTGGCATTGGTCCTACAGACTCAGCAGCAAGGCAAAAAATGAACAAAAATTCTGCAGGAGCTTCCCTGCCTGTCTCTCTCCAACTGTATGTCAGGCCTAAGGAAAACAGAGACAGCATGGGATTTCTCAGCAGGGCTCCTTTCCATTTCAGATCTGAGACTGTGGTGATTTGTATCTTTGAATATGTTTTTCTGTTCGTTTTCCTTTTAAGAATGCTGAAGAAAGGGGTGTCAACACAAAGGAAGATGTATGTGTCACTCCATACTGCTCTGGTTTCTGGCAGCAGTCGGGCTGCTGCTTGGAACTGGCTGGAAAAATTGCTGTCACTGGTTTTGTTGTTGGTTTTCTGAGGAAAGAAAAAAATGCCAGCACTGATAACTGATTGACTCAGAGCATACAAAGCCATAAAGTAAAAATGTGCCCAAAGATTTTCCTCAAAAACCTGAAACCTTCCAAATGTCACCATGATGCTTCAGAGTGCCTTCTCTTGCATGGCCATACCCTGTGTACCAGGGACCTCAGTGCTTGGATCTGGAAATGAGCATCACCTCCCCTCCTTAGGCATCCTTATGGAAGTCTCTGGCTGCAGTATCCCATGAGAAACTCCCATCAAGAGAACACAGCCCATAAAACGTGTTCTGCCCATCTTCAGTCTCCAAGTCACAGAAATTATGAGGTTGGGGGTGCCTCTGGCAAACATCTTGTACAGTCCATGCTCAGAGCAGGGTTAGTGACTGTGAGTTGCTCAGAGCCACATCCAGTTGGATTTTGAGTATCTCCAAAGATTGATATCCTGCAACCTCTCTGAGCAACCTGTGCCAGTGCTTGGTCAACCTCACAGTAGAGAAGTCAATCATGATGGCAGCACTTCCTAACACAAAACCTAACAACTCCAGATTCTTCCTCTCTCCCTCTCTCTTTCTTTGGTTTTGTTGTTTTTTGGTTTTTTGGGGGGGGGGGTTGATATTTTTTTTAAGGGAAAAGTAAGAGATGCAACTATTTTCATAAAAAGAAACCATTTTTTTTAAAGATCACTTAGTGTTTTCCTCAACAAACTCTCCACATGGACACTTTGGGAATAATTCCACTACTTCTGTCTTCATACCAGAGCAGCACCTGCCTCTGGGTTGCGTTACACCGTTGACAGAAGGGTTGGTGACACCATTGATCATTTGTAACGTTATTTATTTATTACCTGGTAAGTGCATTCAGGCTCTTTGTGGTAGACGCTGCCCAAATAAATCAAAAGGAATACAATCTGTTTTCAAAGTAGGTGTTATTTACCTGTTAAACAGTCAGCTGCAAAGAAATGGGTAGAGAGAAGCAAGAAAACCAAAGCTTTTGTGCTAATTTCTGAACTTCAGCATCACTGTGGCCACACATGGGAGAAGAGTAAGATCCTGGCTGTGCTGCCCAAGGGTGGGTGTTAGTCAGTCAAATGGACAGAGATGTCCTGTAGGTGTGACCTTTCCTGGAGTCATATGAAATCACTCTGGTGACTGTTGGGCACTATATTCATTTTTAAAAGCTGCAGTACAAGTGCACTTAAGAATTAATGCATATTTTAGAAGGACATACTTTTTAAAAAGCCTAAGAAGTAGTCGTTTGCATTTTTCAGTTGTGGTGTTTTTGTCAGGAAATGAGCTTAAAAGAAAAAGAAGCATGTGCACAGTTATCCCTTCTCTTGGAAAAATGCCTTTCCGTTGAAAAGACATATTTTCAAGTCTACAAACAGAGCAGTAGGGGATTTCTTTTCTCAGTAGGGCTTCCCAAATAGAGGAAAAAAGGAAGAAAATTTGTGATTTCGCCAGAGGAAGAAAATGTGATGTTTAAGGGGGCAGGTGTCAGAGTTTTGAAGGCTGTCCAGAACTTTTGGGGCAGTCCAGCACTAGCCCTTCCAAATGCCACCACTGAGAAGAATGCATGGGGAATTTAAGAAAGGGGATGAGGTGGCATGGTGAAACACTTTGCCCGTGAAAATCATGTCTTTGGAGAAGAAACTGCTTTGCTGGAGCAGAAACTCAGTGCTAAGGACACTGATGCCAGCTTTGGCTTCTAGACAGGAGGGTGTTTTGGAGGGCTGTGGTGAAGGCCTTGCCTCCCTGCTCCCTGGCATCCCGAGCAATGCCAATCTGCCCTTGCAGCTGGGTGTACCCCCACTTCAAGTGCTCAGCATTGCCCCTTGCCCAGTGCCCGCCAGACCATGAGGCTGCCAGAGCCCAGCACTGGTGCCTCATGGCACGGAGCAGCCAGCAGTGCAGGAGGCATCATCTCACATACTGATTTGGAGCCACAGAAGTTTCTTGCATGATTTGGAAGCAGGAGCTGGTATCCACTGAGATGTGGGCACATGAATCCAGCCTTGGTATCAAAGATGTCTACTCCCATAGGGAGCAACCAGGAACTTTGCATAGATTGGTTGCAACAGTGCTGCTGCATCTAGTTTTAAATGCAAATGCAGGCAACAGTGGAGAAACCAGGTGTCTCACTCCTTCCCAAGAAGGAGAGGCAGGGCTGAGCATGCAGCCGTTGCTTTGGCACAGGCTCCATTTAGGTCCCTCTCTGATACTCTTGAGTATGCAGACCATATGTTACATCCCAGCTTTCTCTCTCCTGTTTATTTCTATCCATTTTCCTGTATGCCATCAGCTCTGAAACTCTTTTTTCTCTACTAGTCTCTCTTGGCCAGCAGACTATAATTCCTAGGTCATCTTCAAAGGGGACACAGAGCAGTAAAACCCAAGCCCTGGGGTGATGCTGGAAGCTTACCAGGTTGCAACACGGTTATTCCCTTGACCCACGTAGTAAAGCACATGTAAATTTGTAGTGTAGTGGAGGCACACAGTTTTTTGATGGTTTACATACTGCCTTTTTGTTACTGCACTTCTGGATGAAAGCAGTCAGCTGCAGATCATGGCTCTGCAGGTTGTGGCCTAATGAAGAAAAACTCAGAGGGAGGATCAGGCACGTTTGGTGTAAATTGTCCAGTGAAGACCTGCTCACTCAAAAGCAGAAAGAACCAAATAGCAGGAAACAATTCTTTCTATCAACATGTAGCCCCAAATCACTTTGATGTTTGACTACTATCCACATTTCTGGTTTTTTTCCAGGTGATTCCTGACACCACCTCTAAGCTTTTCTACTCTCTGATATTTTTTGCTAGCTAATATGAATAATGAGAGATTTCTATAGCTCAGCTAGCTGGCTTAAAAGTGTATTAATTTTGTGTTCCACTGGAATACATGGTGTCAAACAACAGCCACAGAAATGCAAGTACCCTCAAAATAAACTTCTACCTACATGCAAAGAGAAAAGGTTTTATTAGAGATTGTAATAACCACATAAAATTATTTTGACCAGTTTCTTATAAAGGTGGCTTCACTGATACCTTGGAACAGTCTTCCAGGAAGATTTAATTTAATCCATACTGCAGTCAGTGTTTTCTTTGGAACTACAATATTTTTCTCAGAAAGATGTTCACCCTCCATCTCATATTTACTAAGTAGACGCCAACTAGACCTGTGTTCAGCGATATTGACAAGGCCAGTGTTATAGGGATTTAAACAGAGAACAACAGAAAGCCATACACAAACCAGAGCAGTTCTTGCTGGCAGTTCAAAAATGCTTGCACAGGATCATGGGGTATTTGTCTCAGATTCAGAGCTATTCCTTGTCTCTGACTCAGACTCTCTCATCTTTCAATACAATTATTCTGTAGAAGATCAAAAAAGAATTCCTTTTTTTTCATGTTTTCTCCAAGCAGCTCCGACACCCAGCGAAAGATTTCTCAGGATGCCAGAGCCAGCAAAGTCAACCTCAGCCCCCAAAAAGGGCTCCAAGAAAGCTGTGACAAAGACCCAGAAGAAGGGCGATAAGAAGCGGCACAAAAGCAGGAAAGAGAGCTACTCCATCTATGTCTACAAGGTGCTGAAGCAGGTTCATCCTGACACTGGCATCTCCTCCAAGGCCATGGGCATCATGAACTCCTTCGTCAATGACATCTTTGAGCGCATTGCTGGAGAAGCCTCCCGCCTGGCCCATTACAACAAGCGCTCTACCATCACCTCCCGGGAGATCCAGACAGCCGTGCGCCTGCTGCTCCCAGGAGAGCTGGCCAAGCATGCTGTCTCTGAAGGCACCAAGGCTGTCACCAAGTACACGAGCTCCAAGTAGCCAGACATCACCTCTGCAGCGGGACCATCAAACACCAGGCCCTCCATGCAAGCACGGGTAAGCAGCCATGGTCTGGATAAATGTCACAGCTATTATCCACAGCAATTTGCAGCCTTGGGATGGGCATGAAAAGCTGCCCAGTGGAAGAGGAGACAGTGATCTGGATGTCAGCTGATTTTCATAGTCTGTTCAGGACGTGGAAAGGATTTGTCAAGGCTCACGGAGGAGGCTCTTGCTTTCACATCTCATTCAAAGAACTGACCAACCATACTGTATCCAGTCTCCTCTGTGCTTAGCAAACACACATGTTTGGTACTGGCAGGGGAGACTGGCAGTGACAGACACCATCCCTGAAGTCTTCCTGTTTGACTGCTTTCTCACAGTCATCTGATACGGGCACTGAGGAGTCAGCACTGGCATCCTCTCTCATAGCCTGGATCCCTCCTAATGTGCTGTGGCTCAGCCCACCCTGTGCTGGCAGAAGCAACAGCTACCAGGCACACATTGATTCAACAGCTATCTGTGCTTGACAGCCTGTTTTAAAGAGCAAACCTGGCAGGCAGGCAGATGCCCAAGTTGATACCAAGTGCTAATCCTCCTCATTGCTCCCGATGGATGAGCCATGGAGCAGGCTGAGGGTGCTGGCGCTGCCTCCACCTTGTGCCAAGGTGGAGAGATGGACAAGGCGAGATGTTGGGACTGGGTCACCACCTTTCCTGGCTGCTGCTTTGCCTGCTTTAGGACTTGCTTTGATGTGCAAGACTTTGCTAATTCTGCTGCTTTTTACAGACTTTTCCTGCCTTGACGCTGCCTGGGCGCTCCCACCGTAAGTGTGGGTGAGAAGGGGTGGGGCCCATGAGTGTCCCCTCTCCTGTGAGCTCTAGGCTGGTACAGGACAAACATTAGAGAAGTGTTGGGAGGGGACTGAGGATTTGGGAAGGCATCTGGTATGGGAGCAGAGGTGGGTAATGCATTTTGGGGGGGAAAGAGGCTGGCTCCCTGCAGAGATCACTGCAGGCAGCTCACCTGGCCCTGCCTTCCCTGCTTTGTTCAGCAGTTAGAAAGCAAAACCAAAAACTGGGGTTGGGTGGATGTATAGGGACACTTTCCTGCATCCCAGGTATTTTAAAGATTACTCCCCACATCTTCTCAAAATCCACAGTAAGGTGAGCAATAATAGAATCTTGTTAAAAGCCATAGAGATTAGTGGAGGCATATCCTGGTTACAGGTTTATCTTGCCCAGACTGCTGGATAGCAGAAGAGCATGTGTAGCACTGGTGTGAAGTTGAAACTTCCCACTCAAAACACAAAATTAGCCAACATTAAAAAAAAATCAAAGTCTCTGGTAGGCAGTAATGCTTAGATAAAAAATATGCATGTCTAAAATAACAACAGTTTTCCGCAACTTATTCTGTAAATAAAAGGAGCAGCAAAGGCACAGGATCCAGAACTAAGTGCAGATTCTCCCTAAACTCCAAGACCTTGTTTTTAATCAAAAAGTAAATTCATACTCCAAAATAGCAGCCTTGCAGTACATCTCTAACTTTCCCCTGCATTTATCTCTATCATGTTTCTTTATGCTTTGAGAGTAATTGGAACCTTTAAAAAATTTAGATTGCTTTTGGAACTGTAGGACTCTGCCTCTCCAGAAGATTCAGTTATTCCTTGGTTTTATAATAACATTGCAGTCATTTTTCAGTTGGTCTGAGGAGAGGACTGCATAGACCTGCTCAACCAAGAGCACCTCAGAAACCCAAGAGCAGCCTGAACGTGCGATCTCTGTGCAGGAGTAAAGGTCAAGTTGTTTATGGGCTGCTCCCAGCCCCCTGCATTGGTTTGAACACCCCACACCTGAAAAGGGACTTTCCTACCGCACTCTGCTCAGTGATAACACGCAGCTGTGTTTCATAGCCTAATGCCAGCAGGAATGTCTGGTGATATCTCTCAGAAAGAACAGCACCTGGTTAGCTGGCTGCCAGGACCCACAAGGAGCTGCTCCCAGCAGCAGCACCTGTACTCAGCAGTATTGGTAACCTGGGCCACTTGGCCAGGACACTTTGGAGGTGACAGCTTATTACTTACTTTTGTTTTCCAATCAAAGACTCAAAATCAGATGCCAAAGATTAAAATGTATCTGCAGTGGGCCTAAAGCCACCATCCTTGGCCATCAGAAATCCAGACAGTGGATGATGCATAAGGGGAATATAGGGAGTGAAGGACTGGTTGACATTGCTGTAGCTTTCTTCTTCTGTCCCTATGAGCTGCAGGTCAGAATTCACCCCCCTGGGGAGTCATCTTGAAGGTAGAAATTCAAAGTGGAATAAACTTACTCCAGCCTAAGCAATGTGTGCGAGCCAGGGCACACATCTCCTAGGATTACTTGGCACAGCCTCTAAACCCTCACTCTTTTGAGCAGAGCAGAGTCCTGCTTCAGTCTCCACAAGCTGCAAGAAATCAGGAAAATAAAATGAGATTTCAGTCCTCCAGGGTCACCTGGGTGGCTTGAGGAGCCAGGAATGAGGCTGGTCTTTTGGGCAAGAGCTGCTCACCCCATACACCTACTCACAGTACTGGTCCCATTTGCTTCTGCCATTGTTGCCACTCTCCATTTTTGGAGCTTGTTTCAGAGAGAAGAGAGACAGTGATTTAAGGCTACAAAAATACCTGAAGACTTAAAGAGGATTTTTATATTGTCTAAAGCTGAGTGACTGAGACTGATCACATCCATCCATTTATAGTTTAGGTTGTCCTTGCACACATCATTTGCTCTTTAGTCTCCCTTTGGTATTTTTTTTTACTTGCCCCTGACAATGTGAAGCACAGGATTGAGGAACTGATCCATGTTAAAATGAAAAAGTTTTTTTTTTCTCTTCTTGAAAGATTTGTTTTAACCCAGTTCTGGTGGCTGCTCTGTTCTGTCACTGTTGTACAGACACTTGTGCCAGTGAAAGGAAGGGATGATCCAGGAAAGGCAAGGCTGGTATAAGCTAGGACTGACACAGAAAGCAGTTGGGAAGTTAATGGCCCTAGTGTCAAGGGAAAATGAAGAAAGGAAATCTGAGTCTCCTGCAGTGGTTGAGTTAGCAGCAAAGATGAGGCTTTTAAATATGCCACTATGGGTGTTACCCATGCAGTGTCCCACGAGCAGTTTCTCTTGCAGTCCCGATGCTGGAAATCAGGTACATCCCATTTCTGCAGATCCCAGAGGACTCAAGTGTTTCACAAGTGAAAGGGAGCAGGTTGGGAAGGGGACTCTGCTCCCATGCAGCCACCCAGCTGTAGCAGTTGGAGGCTCCTTGTTCAGGCAAACCTGCAAGGCAGCCTGCCCTTCCCGCAGCTGCCTGCTGCTGTACGGGAGCACACTCACAGCAGTTTAACAGGAATTATTTTGAATGTGATGAGCTTGGACTGAGCCTTAATATTAGAGGAAACAGAAGGTGGTCTAAAAGTTCAAGGATCAATTGTCCACTAAGTAATCTGAGGTGTGACATACTTCACAGTTCCCTGATAAGGAGATTGGCTACAGAAGAGGGGTTCTACACTCCAGGATCCATGCTTTTAAAATAATGCATATTTCCAGATCTGGAATTGATAAAATTGTTTAAAACTGGAGATAATATACCAAGCCCCACTGTCCCTATCTGATTCCTACTGCAGTCCCAGGAGTATCTCTAGGCCACTCCTGTGTTTTGTGAGTTAAAAAAGTAAATCAACTACAGATTGAAAGTTGGAAAGGAAGATGAAAAATGTAATACAGCCTTGCTATTAACCTCATATTAACCCCAAGGACATCACAGCACTGAGTTATTTATTTTTGTGTACAAAAGAAATAAAACAAGCTGCTATAGATCTACATCTGATTTTCCACCCTGCTTCGCTAGAAGGGCTTAAAGTCCACCTGCTCTTCACAGCACAGCTCAACCTACAGAGGAATTGAGTGGCCACCTGCATGGAGGTTTGCTCCTGCTCAGGACAGACAGGTTTTTATTCAAGCATGGTGAAAACAGGCATAAAAACAAGTGGGGAGGAAAGTGCTTGTCCTGGACACCACTGTGTGTCCTAGGGAGGGACACTACAGAGCCCTGCCCAGCAGAGCTGTGTGGCTGTGCACCCTTCTGCTCTGGTGACAGGCATCCATGCAGATAGCTCCATGTCCTGACCACCCCTGGAGCAGAGCTTGGCATGGTCTCTGAGCAGCCCTGAACATTTGTCCCATCATAGCATTTCCTGACGGTTTACATCCAGATCAAATTGTTTACAGGGAAAGGAAAGAATGTGAACTAAATCATAGAAATTATTTGCTGACATAGTTTTGAGAGCTCCCTGGGACCAGTACCTGGGGAGTAATCTTTCATGCTTACTTCATGCATCGTGTCTTGTGGGCTTATGTACAGTTTTTCTGACAGTAAGTGTTACATCAAGTATGATCCATGTTATATTGCTGCTGGTTTATGACCTATCTTAGTGCTAATTACCTGTTTTCTGTTAAATGTATAAATAAAATATAAATGCCAACCTGTTGGAAATCAATGAGACCCAGCTGTCAGGGTGTCTTTGCTTCCTTATTACCTTTGCTACCTTATTACCAAGGTCCCCCCAGGTCCTGCATTTCTCCTTCTCCATGGTATTTCCTTCAGACCCAGAGTGACAGCAACCACCCTTCCAACAGAAATGGAGCCCAGCTGGTCCTGGCAGAGGGTCAGTGAAAAACCAGAGGAGCCCTGCACTGAAAAGATGTCACAGGCTGCCACTGTGAGTCCTCATGGGGCATCCCTCACCCCAAACACAGGTGCAACATAAACATCTTTTTTTCTCAAGGCCTTCCAGTGAGCTTGCCCCAGACAGAGCTGAGCCTGCAACCTGCCCTTGCCACACTCCTTGTGTGCTTGGGGAGTGCTCTCCCTGGCACCCATCACTTAACCCCTGGGTGAGAACAGTTTTGACTTGCACAGACTGAACACTGTGGTTGGAGAAGTGTTTTATGCACATTCAGAATTTCTGTTCATCCGAATCAACAATTGCTCCCCTAGAAACATCTTTCCTTGGGCTATGAGAAGTTTATAGGCAACAAACATGGAATAAGATGTAGTGTCTGAAAAATCCAGGATGAAAAATACCTTCCCTTTAAAGAATGATTGCTAAATACGTTCCAGTGAAACACTCACCTGCTGGACATCAGCATCATAATGCACTCGTGGAGTGGGAAATGAATATGCTGTGCTAGATATTGTTTGCTGGAGAAACAAGCTAAGACTTGAGATATGCCATATGATAGAAATTAGAGCTAAAAATATTTGTAGTCTTTCTAAAGACAGACTCACAAGCTTAGCATAATTGGGAAAATCAGTATTTGGAGAAAAAAACCTTGTAACTAAATCATCTGAAGTATTTATTTCCAAAGAAATAAATTATGCTGCCTCTAATACTGATTTTCATTTTGATATCCCTTTGCAGACACCCACAATGCACTTTCATAACAGAGCTGACTCCTGGGTCTCAGGAAGACCCAAACCAGGTTACAAAAGGTAAAGCATAACCTATGGTCATGCTTCTTCTGGATACTGGGAGAACTCAGGAACATCAGAAGAAACTATGAGGACGAGGTTTAAAATAAGAGGAGCAACCCTTCAGGCAACAAGAGGTCCACTATTGAGCTTTTGCCAGCGGATGTTAGAGATGCTAGAATTTGGTTCAAGGACAAGCTACTGGGAGAAAAATCCTTTAAGACTTGCTAAACACATATAAACTATGCTGAAAATTATTATAGACTGAGAGAATACGAAGAGGAAGTTACTGTGTGTGTCTGTCTTATTCCTACAGTCTTTCTTGCCTATTCTGTCATGGCCACTACTGGAAACAAGATTTTGGGTTGGATGCACCAAAGGGCTGGTCCAGGTTGTCTGCATACACTCAAATGCAGTCTACCTTGTGCTATGCATGAACTGTGAAGAGTTTCAGGCAGTTTTCTTAGGCCTCTGGAGCTTAGAATAAAGCATAAAAAAAAGCTTTTTACCTCCCTTTTCTATGTGACTTCTGCAGTTGCATTGATGGTTATGTGGATGCTGTTAGCCTGGCTTACATAAAAGATATAGAAATGTTTTATTTCTAAAATAGTTAGGGTTAATAAACAGAGATGGTGTGAGAATGAGGAATGGAGCTTCTGTTTTCTCATATAATGGAAAGCTGTTCTCAGAAACATTTCTTATTTTCTCCCTTGAAGCAGTTGATTTTAAAAAAAAAGTACACAATTTTCTGCATTTTAATGTCCATAATGCAAATTCCCCCCCCCAAAAAAAAAATCTGTTACAGCAATTCATTCAGAAAAAAGATTCTTATAGATTTATCTGTCTTCTAATGACAGAAGAATATCCTAATAGTAATAGCAATGGGAAGATTGGTGGGAGTGGGGAAGGAATGGCAATGGCTGCATGTGAGGCACCAGAAGGAACCAAAGGCAGGAGACTGTAAGTGGATGCTACAGGAGTGACAGATGCTGATAGGACCTCAATGAAAAGCTCACCAAGATGCCAGCACACGCAGAGCATGCTGCTGCTCTGGACACCGGAAATGAAGGGCTGGGAGTAAATCCTGGTAACTCCCAGAGGTGGAGCAGGATAGACAGTGTGTGGCTGTGTACCCTTCTGCTCTGGTGACAGGCATCCATGCAGATAGCTCCATGTCCTGACCACCCCTGGAGCAGAGCTTGGCATGGCCTCTGAGCTTCTACCAGAAGCTAAAGGGTACAAACGGCACATCCAGTGCTAGTACAGGTCACCAATCTAAGAAAAACACAGGAAATTTGATGCAGGCATGAGGGCACTGTCCCTCATCCTCAGAGTCATTGCAAAGATGGACACACACATCTTGGTGCATGTTGGTCAGGCAGCTTGGATACATCCATCTCGTGAGTATGCAGGTATGATAATATGAGCGTGATTGAGTCAAATCAGTCCTGGTTTAAAGTGAAGTCACCTGCCTATGAGGGGACAAAGTCACTCTCCTAGAGGGACTTGCGTTGAGTTTGCTACATTGTGGCTGCTCATCAATCCTTCTGGTACATCCAGTGTTAGGGCAGGAAATCTCTCATCTTCTGGGCACCACTCCCCTTTATGGGCCATAGAACCTCCTCCTGAGCAGGTGTGGAAAACATTCTTTATACAAAGTACATCCGTATTTACCAAGACTCAGAAAAATGTCCAGCACAATTTTTTAAATAAACTAGGAGATGTTTCTGACCTAACCTGCCCTGTAGGGTAGGATACATCCTGGTGAATACCAGGCCTGCCTCTGAAAAATACAGCTTCAGATGGGAGAGCCACGAGTGCTGTTGATATAAGCACTCAGTCTCCAATCTTTGCCTGAGACTGCCTGCAAAAAACAACAAAGGAGCAAATGTAAGTGCACCATGTTGGATTTCATTAAAGTGAAGGAAATGTGAGGGTACTGCAATTTACCATCTTTTTTTCCTAGGCTTTTTGTTTCTTTGGAGTGCTGCAGTATTCAGGGGCTCACAGGCAGCCTGGTCTTACAGGCACTGATAGAAACAGGCTATAGAACTGGCCCATCCCAATAAAACGTGCCCTTGCATAAAGCTTTCTGAGGCATGACTAAGTTCTAGCAAAGTGGGAAGCCTATGACAGCAAGGACTGCCTGAGCATGTTGAGAGGAAGATGGCTGCTTTTGTTGGGAGGTTACTTTTTTGGGATGAACATTTATCCCACAGCTAATTTATCCTGTCATCAAGGTAATAAAAAGTTGTATCTGAATATAGACTTCAGAGATGCAGCATCCTCCCCTCTATTCCACAACACCCTGCAATGCCACATCCACATGTACTCACATTAAGTCCATGCTGCTCCCATACTGACTTGCACTCTGTCCCAGGTCTAGAGCCAAACAACTACAGCTTTAAGTGGAAAACTCCGTGGTAGAGCAAAAGAAGAAAATTCAGATTCATTCCTTAGTGCCTTTTGCAGCCTGTTATAGCGAAAGGACTGAGACACCTCTCCCTGCAGCTAATCTTGGCTAACAAAAGCTGTTTCCGTGGGGTCTACCAGCACCACTGGCCACTTAGCAGGAGAGAGCCAGAGCTCTTTTTAGACCAGATGATTCAGCACAAAGAAGCCTCTATAGCTCAGC